AGTTGGGACGTAACTGAAGGGACCTGTAAGGACCTAGTTCGACCCACCCAGAGCCGATTTGTCCTTCGCTCACTATTTACGTGTATAGGCAAAATACACAAACGCAACAGGCACGAGCGTCGACTGTACGTTTAACTTCTCTCTCTCTCTCTCTCTCTCTCTCTCTCTCTCTCTCTCTCTCTCTCTCTCTCTCTCTCTCTCTCTAAAATACCCCGTAACACCAACAGCAAAAGGTCGCCTAGTCCCTTTGACTCTTTACGGGGGCATCCGAGAATAACTCGGGTTAAAAGTGGTCTAGAGTATACGGTCAATACTCAAACTATTAATATCAGGACTGAACCGAACCAACTTCCCTCAAATAGGGATCAAACCTAAATAAAACACTACTTCTCTCTTGGCCTGACCAGAAACGAACGCTAACTTCAGGAAGGTCGCTGTTTGCTGGTAGGCATACCCTGCAAAACAACTAACGATAAGGTACTTACCACGACACTTGAATCGCTTGTATGCTTCAGGGAAAATTCTGCTCTGTATTTGTTAGGGTGAATTGAGAGAGTGGCAGTAGAAGTCCCCGCAATAGGAGATTGTGATGTTGGAAATTTTCCAACGCCCACTGGATCAAGTCTGGGACCATCGCCGGACCATTCCAGCAATCGTTCTTGATCTATTCGATCAATTGGTATTGCCGGCGATGGCTCATGTGACGATGTGGCGTCACAGTAGTGTGGACCACGCCAAGAGCGGTCTTCGACTGGTTGTAGGTATCCGGATGGGACGCACGCACGGACCAGACTGAGTTAACTTGATGTTTGTATATGAAGATAAGGGATTATATGATTTGAAGAGAGTAAGGGCCAACACACGAACGCTATATAGTTCCCAAATCTTTAATAGAATGTCCTAAAAAGTTCTCCTGTTTGAAGTCATGTCATCCAGCTGTTCGCGACTCCTCTCACTCTGTGAGAATGTATTTTCTAGGATGGGCATCAACAGTAACTGATGACGGTGATTTCCTATGGTATCAGCGACGGATCCGTGCATTCGCGGTGGGATTCAGGTGTGTGCCGCCCTTGAGACAAGCAAGGACTCCCCGGTCCTTTGTCTGGTCGGGTGATTCGATGTGTTTGCGGTTACGTCATGGTAAGCTTCGTCGGCGGTAGACAAACCTGTCTGGGCCAGCCGATACGATCTCCTGATAGGGAGACGAGCTCTCACCGAATGGCGTCGACTGTTGCGACTGGAGGGACCAACTCACAGAACCACGGGAACACGACAGCATTGCTGGAGGTTCGTCAAAATCATTAAGGGATTGCGTAAGTACTG